GGCTGACCATGATATTGGTCACACACCATAATCAAATTACAAGATCTTCTAATTAACATGAGTGATATTGAAGTAATTAGAAATAAAATTCGAGAAGAAGGGAATTTGATGTGGTAAAAAGTAGTGCCCATCGAAAAAGGTTAATAAGAAATTTGTAGTTGGAAAAAGGAATTATTTCTTTGACCTTGTTTACTCTTTATATATATATATATATATATATATTTATTTATGAAAAGTAGTGAACTATATAATCAATGAATATACCAAAATTGACATTTTATATGGATGTTGTGTTTATAGCTGACTATGCATCTATCTTGTTTCATAATCGGATGTATTTTTCAGATATCTCATAACTTTCGGTGATTCTACTTGTCATATGTTCAAAGAAATCTATTTASAATAGAAGGAAGAAGATAAGATATGACCCTTATCGACCAAGAAAGAGAGGATAAGAAGGAAGAGACGACAATGAAGGAAGAACGATTAATAAAGAACCAAAATATTCATTGATGATAAGTTGATATCAAAGCGAGCATAACTCAGCGGTAGTTGACGTATATCTTAAACTAAGAGATCGTGAGTTTGATCCCCAACTTTACACTTGAAAAAAAATGATAATTTGATACAAATTAATCATAGTTTGGGTAAATAACTCACGTATGAATTCATCATGCAATTTGTYTTTATCTTTCCATCTCATTATAGCTAGATTTGAATGCAAATACCATCTATTCAAATGGGAGAGCTCATATCATTAGTGACACAAAGAAAAGAAGAAAAAAAGTTTGAGGAGAGGCAAAGGCAAATTATGGGTTCTCAATTGAATTTTATGTATATATTAACTAAAGTGGGTAGCAAAGCAATTGAATGTCAATCCCTTTTCAATTTATACCCATGGTACATATGATAGAGGATATTCCAAAGCAAACTCACTTTTTTTTTTTTTTGGGATACAAAAGGAATAGAATAGTTAAAACCATAATGCTCTTTTTTTGGTGGGTGATTTTAATATAGTTTAAAACCTTGATTTTGKTCCATTACTTTTAATTTTTGTCTATTTTAGTTTCTATATACTTTCGAAATGTCTATTTAGTTTTCTGTACCTTTAAAAAGTGATCATTTTGATTCATTCATTTTTTTATATCTTGTTTATTTCAATCATAATTTTAGGAGGTAATTCCCTTAGGAAATTTTTTGAAACGTAGCAATAGATTTGTATTAGAGATTTTTCATTTTATATAAAACTTACGTTAAAATTTTAAAAATATGGACCAAACTAGTCACTTGTTAAGAGAGTACATAGACAAAAATTAACGTTTTAAAGGTAYAACGACTAAAATGAACAAACGTTGAAAGTACAGGAACCAAAATGAACATTTTAAAATATAGAGATTAAAATACAAAATTACATGGAACAAAATAATATTTAAAACCCTAATATATATTAACCCTACCTTGTTTTTCCCATTCTTCTCAAGCTTTAAAATAATATTTACTAGACCATATATTTATTATAAAGCTATCTTGAAAATAATTGTTTGGTAGCCATTGTCTTTAGAAAATGAAATTGGTTTTTGCTCTCTCAGTTTCTTTGTATTGTTTTT